AATAAATAAATAGAGATAGATTCTGCAAATATGAAAGAAATTACGACGTTTAATGTTGAAAACCAATAACAACAATGGAAAGATTTATAGCAGAAGCAAAAATATGTCTTTTATTCTAAGTTTATAATTTGCCTGGGAATTTCTTAAAATAGACATTAAAATTTAAGTTTTATGACACTTTAGTGCTCTATGTGCAGTTAATTGCCTCTTTTAAAAAAAATGTGTGTAGTACAGGGTCTACAGGGTTTCACTACACAGATTGGACTCATAGTGATCCTCTTGTTTTCAGCCCCCAAACACTGGGATTACAGGCACATGCCACCAGGTCCAGTTTCAGTCAGTGTCTCAGCGTGTCCCGGGGGTGGGGCTGGCATGGCACACCCAGGATCAAATCCCAGTCCCTATATCTGCCTAAGCAGGTGCTTTAATCCACTGAGGTATCTGGCCAGCCTTAATTTTTTTTTTTTTAACTGGGAAAAAAGTATATATTTAGAATTGACCAGCTGGACTCAGTTTAGATGATCTCAATTTTGTTGGCAACATCCAACGCATCATAATCAGGAGCCAGTCGAACACATGCCTTCTTCTCTCCATCAGGCCTGTTTAGGGTATTGACCTTGGTAGCATCAATGTCAGAGCTTCTTTACAGCTTGTTTGATTTGGTGCTTAATGACTTTGATATTCACAATGAACACGAGTGTGTTGTTGTCCTCAATCTTTTTCATGGCTGACTCTGTGGTCAGAGGGAACTTGATGATGGCATAGTGGTCAAGCTTGTTACTCCTGGGGGCGCCCTTCTGAGGGTACCTGGACTGCCTCCGGAGTCGCAGTGTCCTGGGACGGCGGAAGGTGGACAATCTTTGCATCTTTTTCTTTTTGTGGCTGTGGATGCCTTTCACCATGGCCTTCTTGGCCTTCACAACTTTGCTTTGGCTTCAGCTTTGGGATGGTCAGGGGCTTCCCTCTTCACCTTCAGCACTATCTTCATAAAAAACCCTAATTCTTAATAGAGCTGCCCAACATTGCTATCTATACTTCATTCATTATATTACTTATCCCCAATCTATGCAGAAACAACTCAAAATTTCAGAACCCTTAGGAATTGACTACTTCTCAGCGGTGTCTTCCATGTGTGCCTGGCTTTTGGGTTTTGGGTCTGTTGTGAGATTCTACACCTTTAATTTGTTGGGGATGAAGAGTTGCCACCCGCTTGCCTCAGCTCTTGGTTCTCTGGCACTGGTCCACGCATAGTATTTCCTACGACCCTTAGGCAGTCTCAGTCTCAGTGTACCAGAACTGCATGGGACAGTGATGCCACCATGTCAACGGCATCAAACACAACCTAGAAAATGGCAAAATCAGATAACTATTAATTAGCCACCTTTAACTGTATGAACTAGATTTGTGATTATTTAACAATATTTAAAACCAGAAAATTGGGGGCTGGGGAGATAGCTCAGTTGAATAAGTGTGTGCCTGGCAAGGCCAAGGACATGAGTTCAATCCCCGGTTCCCACCAGAAAATAAAAAAATAAAACCGGAAAATTATATGTAGGTTTTTTTTGTTTTTTTTTTTTTGCCTAACCAGGGATTGAACTTAGGCCCTTGCGCTTGCCAGGGAAGCACTTATCCCACTGAGCCATCTCCCCAGCTCTATATGTAGTTTATAAGGCCTCAATATGCCAGTTTTACACTCTGGGGAGGAAATTTAAAAGGGGTTATGGTAAAATAGAAAAATAAAAGAGCAAAAGAGATTAGAAGCAAGGGAAGAGGACAAAGGGGGATCATGGAAACTTTGAAACACTGGTACAGAAGACAGGGAGGAAAGAGAGAAGGAAGAAATAAAACGGGAAAACGAACAAACTAACACCACAAAGAAGGTAGAAACCACATTCACACTCATATAAAAACAAGACAAAGGGCCAGCCGAATAGCTCAGTGGATTAATTGCCTGCAAGCAGGTGGAGGGCGGCGTGGGGGTGGGAGGTGAGGGGGTGGGCAACACGGGGGTGTTTTATCCGCAGGCCTGCCATGCCGGCCCCGCCCCTGAGGCGTGCTAAGAAGGCAATAGAGACTGGGCATGGTGGCCCACACCTGTAATCCCAGCTTTTGGGAGGCTGTAAATAGGCGGATCACTACGAGTCCAATCTAGGAGTGAGACCTTGAACACCCTGTAGACCCTTCCCTAAGATACAGGAAAAAAAAAAAAAAAAAAGACAATGAAGGAGAGAAAAAAAATAGCCCACTTCCAGGTTTCTGTCTGCTGTCACTGGTGGACAACACGTGGCTACAGAGCCCAGATCCATGTTGATTCATCCCAGCAAGCCAGCAGCAGCGTTAGGGCAGGGCAGTGGATGAGTTCAGCAGTCCTGCACCTTTACTTCCCCTGAAGTTCAGGCTGGCTTCTGGCTGCGAGCCTGGAGCAGACCCTTTCAGCCTGCAGCTGCCAGGGCACCTTCTGGGGGCTTGGACTCAGCTGGGAGCGGCTAGGCGGGCCCAGCAGCTGTGCTGGGTTCCGGGTTCAAGTGGCCCCTGCCCAAGACAACTCCCAGCCAGTCTCCTGCAGGCTGTCAGTCCTGCAGCCTCGGCCTGAGCTGTTGCAGTCCTCTGGGGTCACCGCTTTCTTCTTCCGCTGTGTCTCTCCGTGGAGGACTCAGCTTTAAACCACTCCTCCCATACAGTGAGTCCCAACTCAGGGAGAAGGCTCCACTGGCTCTCTCTTTTGCATTGAGTTTTCTCTCTTTGCTCTTCCGGTGAACTTCAATTCACAGTTCAGATCTTTTTTTTTTTTTTTTTTTTTTTTTTGTATTTTAGGGAAGGGTCTACAGGATATTCAGGGTCTCACTATTAGATCGAACTCGTAGTGATCCGCCTGTTTACAGCCTTCCAAGAGCTGGGATGACAGGCGCGTGCCACCACACCCAGTCTCAATTGCTGGCTCAGCGTGCCCCGGGGGTGGGGCCGGGGATCGAACCCCCAACCCCTGCGCCTGCTTGCAGGCCCTTTAATCCGCTATTTGATTGACCTTAATGAAATTTACATGGCAAGAATCAATCTCTTTTTCTCTCCCCACCTTTCATTTACAAAGGAGTGAATGCCCATTTTACCCATTTTTAACCTTGAGTAGTAAAAAGAGAGGGAGGGAGGGAGAGAGAATAAAGGAAGAGAAAAGCTTTTTTAAAAAGTGGTGGTGGGGGGGCTGGTGAGACAGCTCAGTGGTCTAAAGCACCTACTTAGAACAAGCTAAACTAAGCAAAAGCACAGGGACCACGGTTCAATCCCCAGCACCACATGCCAGCCAGCCCCGCCCCCCCTGGTGGACTGAACTGGCCCCCTACACACACAAAATAAATAAATAAGTTTTTTTTTAAAAAAATAAAAGTGGGGGGGGGCTGCCCCTTAGCTCAGTTCTTTGAGTGGTTGCTTCAACAAAGCAGTCAGGCTCAGGTTGCGGTAGTTCGATCCCCACAACTCAAGCCAGCCAAACCAGCCCTGAAAGCATTCAGAGAAAAAAAAAAAAATCCTTATTCTATTTGGGGGGGGAACTACCCATTCGGTGCCCCCTCTCCTGTCCCTCTCTCTTGGGACAGGAGCTTGCTCTCTTTCTCTCAATAAATATATTCTGCTCATAAAAAAAAAAAGTGGCTGGGGATGTAGCTCAGTGGCACAGTGTCTGCCTGTCAACTGTGAGGTCATTAGTTTGTATACCCCCCAAAAAAAGCAAAAAAAATCTGAAGTGTTAGCCCTTTATGAAGACTATCACTTATGTCAATTATTAAAAACAAACAAACCCTGGAAAAGAAATATATCTACACTATTTCAAATACAATAATTATCCTTAAATGTCGTCATGAAATAACATTGATACAAAATAATTCTATAAAGATGACAAAGCATTTTATATCAAGTGACAATAATAGATACAGCAACCAAATCCTGTCTCCACAGTAACCAGGTTTTCCTGAGAACCAGAAAGGGAGGCTGGGATTGGTTTCTGTTTCCTGGGAAATGGAAATTTACCTCATTGGCCGACCTCTTCCCTGGGCGGCACCCTGCAGGCAGAATGGAATTATGTAAACCATCCTGCCTGGACAACAGAGCTGCTGCGGTGCCGGTGCTGCACGGGAGCCCCTTGCGCTGGGTTTCCCTCAAGCCTGCGGAGTGGGTGAGTGTGAAGAGGGCACAGTAATGTTAGAAGAAACAAAAGCAGAGCCATGGCAAGTTCCCCTTATTTGGAAGCTGCTGAGTCTGGTTGGGTTCTTGCTTAGTTAAGGAGCCTTCTGTCCTGGAGCAAACCGGTACCTTCTCTAAGCAGGACTCTGTGTCCTCATCTATAAAACGGGGGTAGGACCCCAGCTTTCTGATATCCCCGGGGAGACGATGAACGAGCAGGCATCCACAGCACTGTGCTGCAGCATGTGCCTTGACAATGTCGTGGATTCTTGTTTCCTGATTTGAGGGCTTTCAGTGGTGCACGCAGAGTTAAGGGAGTCCCAGAAGCAGCTAAGGTGTGAACCCTGGGCTTTTCGGGGCGGGGGGGAGCAGCCAATGAGGGAAATACACCCCAACTCCGAATATGGATCCTTCGGTAACCCTGCATCCACATTGCCCCCTCCCTCACCCCAGGTCCCACTTGAGGCCCAGGACTCCACCAGTGCAGAGCAGCCTCTCAACTACCCCGGCCCCCTCACACTTCTTAGGGCAGTAGGCAGGAAGCCAGTTGTGGGGCCTCATATTCCCGTTTTTCACAGGTTTGCCTGGAGTTGGGAAGCTACCCTCTACAGCACACCACTAGCTAGAGCTGGCATGCTGGCCTCTTCCCTGGCCTCCAAGGTAACGTCAACGATGGCCATGGCCAAAGTTGGCAGAAGGGCTGCTGGTATTTTCCTATATGGCCTCTCATCACGGGGTGAGTGTTCCTGACAGGGCAGCCTGGGAGGGTGCAGGATCCTGACCTGTGAGAGCCCTGGTCCCCCAGCTGCCTCCAGGTATCCACCCTGTATTCTCATGCCAAAGCTCACAGCTCTGTGAGCTGAGGTCCTGGGCCCCGAGTTCTCAGACTCAGATGGTCAGTAAATTCTCTCCCCTCTAAACCCAGGCCTCCTGCCTAGACTTTTGGGCCTGCATCCAGGGCCCATGGAGACAGAGGAGAAGCCTCTTACTGCCACCCTTTTCCTGTGACAGCTAGAGGAGGGAGTGGCTTGACCCTCGGCAGTCACATTCCTCCCACCTGGCTTCTCTTTGCTCCCTTTTGACAGCGGCATGGATTGAGACAGTTTACCTCAGTGTCTAGCTGTCCCCCTTAAGGTTACTTCAAAGCTGCTCCGCTGGCCACTCTGAGGGGAGCTGGGCTTGCTGTCAGCCTTTGTGTCCCTCCCTCTGCTCTGTCTGTTACTTTTGGATCCCAAAGAGATTTCTTTCCAGGTTCTTGGTGTCCTGAACAAACAATTGGACAAACCATATGGAAGAGGTTGTGAAGATTTACTTTTGTTGAGGTGGAAAAGAATGCACCCTGAAGAATGAATAGGGGTCAAAGAATAGATTTGCGGTGCCCGCAAGGAATAATGGCAGGGCTCTTTGGTATATGGAATTCTTAGGCTGCTCCTGTCCCTTGAGAACAAGGCATTTGCCTTGTTCTGTCTTATGAAGAACCTCACTGGCCTGATGTGGGATTTAAGCTTTTCTGTAAAAGGTCCATCAGAAGTAAATGAAACATCAAAAGCAGTCACCACATACAAGGCTTGGGGCTGCACGGTCTACTGGGATTCCGACTGTGCGAATGCTCTTTGTGACTGACAGGCTCTTCCGGGTTGTTTGAGTGATTCCCGAACCTTAGCCCTAATCTCCCTCACTCCAACTCCAGCCTCTGCAGCCTCTTTGAAGAATAAGAGGAGAAAAAAAAAAAAAGAATAAGAGGAGACACCAACTACCTCTAAGGTGCAGATATCAGCAAGGAATCTGTTTTTTTGTTTTTGGTGGAACCGGGGATTGAACTCAGGCCTTTGTGCTTGCTAGGGAAGTGCTTATTCCACTGAGCCATCTCCCTGGCCCATCAGCAAAGAATCTGCACCATTGTCGCCAAACCCTGGTGAACTGGGATTAACTCAGTCCTGGAAATTCCCCAGTTTTTAGCCCTGTTATTTCTGTGGGGACACTACAACTGTCAGTTAAGCAGCCGTGTCCTTGCTGTTCAGCACAACTTCCTCTAGGACAGTGAGGGCCGACCCGGCTGGCCCTCTCCCACTCTGGCAGTTCTTCCCTGAGTGTAGTGAGCCTGAGTTTTAAATACACTGTAGATTACATATAAAATTGAAACAAATAATCAAAATTTACCCCAGTGAAGTAAATTAAATCACAGAATTTTTTAAAAAGTGAAATGTGTTAAAAGTTACATCCTAGACAAAGATGCTATATTTTCAGTAAAAATTCCAATTGGGAAATATTATACATCTTTAAAAGATTAATTAAATGATTTTGCCAGCTTGAAATTTCATGAAGAGGGAAAAATTCAAAATCTTGAGAAATTATTTTTAATTCTGACATGGAAAATGGAATACACTGTTAAGAGAAAATGAAACATTTAAAACATATTTACCCTAATCAAATGTCTTTCTTTCTTTCTTTCTTTTTTAAGGTTTTTCTTTTGTGTGTGTGTGTGTGTGCGCAGGGTCTCATGGTGCAGCTTAGACTTGTAGTGATCTTCCTGATTTCTGCCTCTCTAGTGCTGGGATTGTAGGCATGCGTTACCACACCCAGACTCCATCACCAGCTCAGCACGCCTGGGGGCAGGGCTGGCGTGGCATGAGGTGCCAGAGATCAAACCCTGGCCCCTGTGCTTACCGCAGCAAGCGCTTAGACCACTGAGCTATGCAGTCGGCCCTTACCCTAATTAAATTTCAAAGCTATTATTATATCATTAAAATTATAACAACTTTAAAAAAATAAGCAACAGAATTGAATTTGGACTAATCAGTAGGCTCCAATCAGAAGGTTTAAACTTAGAATGTTTAAACTTAGAAAAGTTGGATCAACCATAGGCTGGAGGTTGGGCCAGTCAGCAGGGTTCAATTTGGACTGGTCACAGGCCTGACATTGCTACATAAGCAATTCTCCTTTCACATTTCTAGAGTTGATCTAGATCTTGTCAAACCTTGTTAGTCTTCTGCCCTGTTGTATGGGCTCAGATAGTCTCATAAATCTGTTTAGAATTCTTATTCTGAGTAGTGCGGACCAAGCCATCACTCTTTTTTTTTTTTTTTTTTTTTTTCTCCAAATGCCTTCAGGGCAGGTTTGGCTGGCTTGAGTTGTGGGGCTTGAACCACAGCAACCTGAGCCTGACTGCTTTGTCGAAGCAGCCACTTAAAGAACTGAGCTAAGGGGCAGGCCCCCCACCACTTTTCAAAGAGCTGTGAACACCAGGGGTCGTTGCTCTGAAGAGCTCCAGAGACAGGCAGCTGAGGCCGAAGTTGACCTACAGTGCTGGAGTTAAGTGGCAGTGCCTGGCAGTGGCAGAGACCACAACCTGCAGTAAAGATCAGCAGCAGCATGGCTCAGAACTAGGGCTGGGGCCCTTGGTACGTAGAGCCGGAAGCCACCTGCAGGACCAAGCTTTGCCAATTCATGATTTCTAAATGAATTGACAGAAGAGCCTTTAATTGATGGGCTCTCTGGTTTGTCCTACTTGATCTTCAAGCCAGGCTGTTGGTTTTAACAACATTCTGCACTTCAGGATGCTTTCTTCATCAGTCTATGCGGGTACCCTTTCTGTTCCTATTTACCTCTTCTCATTAGATCTTTTTTTTCTTTTCTTTCTTTTACAGGGTCTTTCTGTGCAGTTCAGGCTGGCCTTGAGCTCACTTTATAGCCCAGACTGGTCTTTCTTTTCTTTTTCTTTTTCTTGCTCCAACTTATAGTGATCCTCCTGTTTTTAGCCTCCCTAGCACTGGGATTACAGGTGCGGGCCACCACACATAGTGTTGGTCACTGTCTCAGTGTGCTCCGGGGCTGGGGCCAGCACAGCACACCGCTGATGAAACCCCGGTCCTTGTGTCTGCCAAGCAGGTACTTTAGTCTGGCCAGCCCCCAAGGCTGGTCTTGAACTCATGGTGATCTTCCTGCCTTGGCCTCCCGACTGCTGGGAGTACAAGCATGTGCCGCCATGCCCAGCTGACTTTTCTTTTCATATCCATTTCCCTCAACCAAAGCCAGTATTTCTCATATACTTTGTGTACGTGTGTCAGTGGCATTTGTGAAGAGTTATTTGTAGTTGCATGTGCTTTAGTCTATACTCAGAAGAACCTGCTATGCATCTTATTCTACTACTGTTTTTCATTCCAACTGCATTGACCTTTGCCTTTCTGTCTCTTGGGGTTGATGCACACAGATTTTCCCATGTGCATTAATGTAAGCTGAGGATATTGAATGAGGGTTAAGTCTGTGACCCTGTCCTTACCTCTGACCTTGTTCACTTCCTCAGGGATCACTCTGCCACCCCAGGATGTGGGTCCTGCTGTGTCTTCCCTTGGGTCCTGGCTGGAGACACTGAATGTTGCTGGCATCCTGCAGGGGAGCTCTGATGCTATTGCTGAGGCTGCTTCCTCAGTTAAAGGTAAGTGATCCTGAGTAGGAGACATCCTACTTTGGGCTCCCAGTTCAACATGGAGATGTCTAACAAGCATGTCAGGGCCAGTGCCACACCCAGCATTCCTTTTTGCTCAATTTAAATGCAGGCAATATCTTGGACTATGGTTAAGAAGTTCGCAACCAGGCCAGGTTAGCTCAGTGGCAATAGGTGCCTACCTGGTAAACGCAAGGTCCTGATTTTGATTCCTGATAAATTAATAATAATAATAATAATAATAATAATAATAAATAAAAAAGAAAAGGAAATTTTCAACCACTCACCTTTACTTATCAGTCTCTCAAGGTGAATGTCCACAGGTTCTCCCATCTGTATCAATGTGAGCTGAGGGTGTTGAGTGGGGTGTAAGCCTGACCCTCTGCACCTCCTCAGGGTACACTCTGGTGTCCAAGGATGCCCTGGACTCTGCAGCATCCTCCCTTGGGCCCTGGCTGGAGACTCTGAAGATTGGTGACATCCTTCAGGGATCCTCTGCTGCTATTGCTGAGGCTGCTTCCTCAGTTAAAGGTAAGTGTTCCTGAATGACAGGGACCCCACTTTGGGCTCCCAATTCAACATGGAGAAGTCTGAGAAGATTGTGAGGACCGGGGCAACACCCAGCATTTCTTTCTGCTTGTTTGAAATGCTGATGACATCTTGGACTGTAATTAAGAATTTTGCATTCAGGCTGGGGATATAGCTCAGAGGTGCAGCACCTTTCCTGGAAAGCGTGCAGCTGTGTTCAATTCCCAGTAAGGAATTGCGACCACTTACCTTGACCTTTTGGTCTCTTGGGGGTGGATGCCTACAGGTTCTCCCACCTGTACTAATGTGAGCTGAAGCTGTCAAGTGAAGAGATGGAGGGAATGGGCTGGGGAGATAGCTCAGTAGAATAAGTGCTTGCCTGGCAAACATAAGGGCCTGAGCTCAATCCCTGGTTCTGGAAAAAAAAAGAGAGAGAGAGATGGAGGGACTCCTTGGTGTTTTGGTGTACCCAGGGAGAGAGAGTAGCAGGAATGAGGAAAAATAGACCAGAAGACAAGAGCTGGGTTCAGGTGGAGTCTGATAGCCTGATGAGTAAAAGACCCAAAGAACAACAATGGGGCATTGTTAGGGGAGGCCCAGGGTTACCTAACAATAGCCAACATTATCCAGGCAGGATGTTTTTCTCAAGACTGAGGTAGCTTTAGGCACTGAGGCCTTGACCTGCCCTCCCACACATAATCCATTTCCAGCTTCAGCTGCTCTCCGACATCTCTCCCTTTGCTGTGCTGTTGTGTGAATCATGGGTGTTCCCTTGTAGTTGGAGAAGTTGTGTTTGGAGAACTCTATAGATCTTTTCATTCTTGGTGCCAGTCCAAAGATTTTTGTTACCTGTACACAGAAATTTAACCTTATTTATTTATGGATCCAATTCGGATCCAATAATCCATAACAACGAGTTACCAGTACCTCTGGCAGTTGTCAAAAGTTGTTAGTGATTTGAACATTTTACAGCTAGCATATTATTACGGTGTTGTTGTTCAGATCTTGTGCTTATACTTTGCTGCTGGATGTTTAAGACCAAGTTAAAGTGAGAACCATAGAATTAAAAATTAACTTCCTGCTACCTATCAAGGTCAGTTAAATCTCCCCAGGAGTCACCTTGGAACCATGTAGAGCTTGTCTTAGATCTTCTGTCAGTGTCAGCCATCTGGATGAGTTATAGCCGTTGATTGACCAGGTTGCTTTCTATGAAAGCTTGAGAGATTTTTTTTTTCTCCAGATGATCCTCCTTAGGCACCCTGTACATCATAGAATCATTCTCCTCTGTGGTCCCATAATCTCCTTGATCAGAAAATCAGGCACTTCACTGAGTTGTAGGATGTCACAGCAGAAGTTCTCTTATGTCATGAGTCCTCCTTGACCTCAGAGGGCTAGGGCAAAAATATTGGTTATCCTCTTAGCCTATCTATCTCTCTAATTTTTGGTCTCCAAACCTCAATTGTTAAGCATCCAGAAGATTAATGACATTACCCTGCAATGGAGGCAGTAAGCTTAATGTTACTATTTTGCCTCAATATCAAACACCTTAGACATAAAATAGAACAATTACTTTCTAACAAACATGGATATTCTAATATTTAAATTCTTACAGGATGTTACATATTTTACACAGAAATTTAGAAATCAGAACCATACGTAACATTGCAGCATAAAACTCATGATGACATTTTGTGACATACATAAATTTTTATTCTGACAGAACCCCTTTAACCAATATCTCTGTCTAATACATAAGAAGCTTTTGGGGTTGGGGAGATGGCTCAGTAGGATAAGTGCTTGCCTGGCAAGCGCAAGGGTCTGAGTTCAATCACCGGTTCTGCCAAAAAAAAAAAAAAAGGTCAGGCTACTTGTGGGTGTGCCCTTGAAGGAGCCACGCACCATAACATAAGAAGCTTTTTTCTAATATTTCATTCTTTAATGGGATATACATCCCAAGCTTTTTTTAAAAGGCAGAGGTCTCTATCTGAAAGTCTTATCACAATAAGCAATCCTTGTTTTACACTTTGGAAGTCTTGAACATAAGGAATTATGTATACATTTAAGATGTCATGAAATTAACAATAATGGATTGGCATACACATGCAAAAGCCTTATTGTAATCTTTTCTGAAAAAAATTTATCTTTTGCAAAGACCAGTTATTGGGAGCGTCTCCCAAGAGACTATAGAGATTACTGGGGCTCCTCATTAATGAACAAAGGTTGGCTATCCCTCTATTCACCAATAGGAGTCCCGTCCAATAATCTCTCCAGCACTCTAAGGAATTTTTGTTCAATTAGCTTAATTTTTTGGTGACCTGTGAGTAAAGTAATTTTGATATCACTTAGACTAGCTGATAATTCAGGAGAAAGTATGATTTTAAATCGGTATCCCAAATTGTATTATGAACAAATAATTAAAGAAAAATGTTGAATTCAAATAAAAAGGGGAACAGCTGTTCACAAAATGATATACAAATAGACAAATAATAAATACACAAAACAAACATCTTTACAAAATCATAGTGTAGGGGACGGCCAAATAGCTCAGCAGATTAAAGCACCTGCACACAGGAGCAGGGGCCAGAGGTTTGATCCCAGGGCCTGCCGTGTTGGCCCTGCCCCGGGGCATGCTGAGATAGCAATTGTGACTGGGCGTGGAGGCGTGTGCCTGTAATCCCATCTCTTGGGAGGCTGTAAGCAGGTGGATCACTATGAGTCTGATATAGTAGTGAGACCCTGAACACCTTGTAAACCCTTCCTTAAAATACAAAAAAAAAAAAAAAAAAAAAAAAGTGTACTCAAATATATTCTTGACCAAATTGAATTATAGTAACTCTAATAGGATTTTTAGGAATTTGTTATTATAAATAGACTTAGTCAGCTTTTATTGTTCTTCACTTTGCAGAGGTCTCTTACCAGAACATTTTTGGAAAGAATGGAATATTTTATCTATAATTTATGTACAGTTTTGCATTTTTGCATTTTATCTTGTCTTAAGAATACTGGTACCTTTCAGTTTAGCAATCCCCGTATAGTCTGTCACCTATTTATACCTTAGATTTCCATTTTATCAGTTCCTTCAGTAGGCCCCAGGTTGAATCTAGTCTCATTACTGTCACTTTTTTCTTCATATTTGGTTTCATGATACAGCTTAACAGCACACTCTGATACTCAAAAAGGTTGCTCAGCTTTCTCTTAAAAAACACAAGTATATTCTTCACCCCAGATTAGCTTTTGTTTTTGTTTTTGTTTTACCTGATTCAATATTTTTCCATTTTTGTACTTCCAGCTTTTGTAAAATTTAAAAACTTTAATAATATATATTGATCAATGAGATTGGAGGGGTTGATTTCCCCTTTTGCTTTTGCAATTGAATTTTGATTGTACAGAGAAATCTGTGTCATATGTTTTGGAAAGGAAGCTGTCACATAGCCTCCTTAACCTAATATGACCCACCTGTGAGAGAACAAGCAAATTAATCTAATTTATCCAAAGGATAGTGACAATTAATAACACCAGAGAAATTAGCCCCAAATCTGAATAGAGCCAATTAATATTACCAAATAGGGGGTCCGGGGTGATGGCTCAGTGGAATAAGTGCTTCCCTGGCAAGCGCAAGGACCTGAGTTCAATCCCCAGTTCCGAAAAAAAAAAAAAAAAATTACCAAATAAAGTCTGAAAATCATTTTAGGTTGATCTGCACAATTTGGAGCACCAAATATCTTTGCTGGATAAATAGGGGCTCATATGAAGAAGTTATCCTAGCTTGTATCTTGTATCCCTTTGCAGTCTGCCACTAGGCCTGCCACTATGTACATGGATGTCAAAATCAAGCAACTGTTTAAACCCCACTGCTTTTAGACTGCACTCCAAAGCTTAATACATATTTGTAAAATATAAAAACTACTTTATACCAATTTTTATTTAGGACTCTAAAATAAGCAATAAACCTTATTAGGAATCAAGAGAACTTTTAAGTAATTTTTGTACATATCCCTACTATTGTAAATCTTAGGAAATACAGTTTTTTTAAGGCAAACATTTTATCTTGCAGATAGAAACAGCCTTTTAAATTAATCACCTTAAGCCCTTTCCCCTGGCTGGCAGCGCGGAGGCCACACGATGCCTGGAGTTACTGTAAAAGACGTAAACCAGCAGGAGTTCATCAGAGCTCTGGCAGCCTTCCTCAAAAAGTCCGGGAAGCTGAAAGTCCCCGAATGGGCGGACACAGTCAAGCTGGCCAAGCACAAAGAGCTTGATGATGAGAACTGGTTCTACACACGAGCTGCTTCCACAGCTCGGCACCTGTACCTCCGGGGTGGTGCTGGGGTTGGCTCCATGACCAAGATCTATGGTGGCCGTCAAAGGAATGGCGTCATGCCCAGCCACGTCAGCTGAGGTTCCAAGAGTGTGGCACCCGAGTCCTCCAAGCCCTAGAGGGGCTAAAAATGGTGGAAAAGGACCAAGACAGGGGCTGCAAGCTGACACCTCAGGGACAGAGAGATCTGGACAGAATTGCCGGACAGGTGGCAGCTGCCAACAAGAAGCATTAGAACAAAGGATGCTGGGTTAATAAATAGCCTCATTCATAAAATAAATAAATAAATAAATAAATAAATAATAAATTAATCACCTTAAGAGGAAAGTGTAAAAACTTCTCTTTTAGTGTCAGTTGTGAGGCTCTATTTCTGGTGGAACTGCGCTTCCTATTCCTCAGGTCAGCAGTCTAGCACCTTTCATGCAATGCAGGACTACAGCTGCCATACCTGGAGGTCGTCTGGACTTTATTTATCATGTATTTGGTATAGAGTCTACAGGGTCTCACTAGTAGATTGGACTCACAGTGATCCTCTTTTCAGCCTCCCAAGCTCTGGGATTACAGGCGCGTGCCCCCACATCCAGTCTCAATCATGGTCTCAGCACACCCTGGGGGTTGGGCCGACAAGGTGACAAGGCACACTGGGATCAAATCCCAGCCTCTGTGCTCTGCCTAAGCAGGGGCTTTAGTCCACTGAGCTATCTGGCCTGCCCTGTGCTTGTATTTAAAAGGCCCTTTAAAATGTTTTTTCTTTAACTAATTAATCTCCATATTTAACCCAATGTTTTCTTTTTCTTTCTTTATTTTTTTTTTTTTTCCGGAACCGGGGATTGAACTCAGGCCCTTGCTCTTGCCAGGGAAGCGCTTATTCCACTGAGCCAACTCTCTGGCCCCTTGTTTTCTTTTTTATTATTTATAATTTTAAAATTTTTGTTAAAGAAGAACCGGTTGAGCAATATGAGAGTCCGTAGTGATTTGAACAGTTTTTGAGTAGACTGCATTATAACTTTGATTTTTCCTGTATAATGAACATTGATGGCACCAGGCAAAACCTGGAGACATCTTTGTATTGGGGTTTTGCCTCTGGGTGCTGTTTTTACTGTATTGCCTCAGGGCTGAGTGAACTGTTAGTATGGGGAGTGGGCTCCCTCGCCCATACACCCCCTCCCCAAGCCACATGGAGGTTTATTGCCACGTAGCCATGGCCACTGTATTCACTGGCTGTTGTTGTGGCTCTGACCACGGGATGTTTTGTTTTTTCCCAGCCAGGCACAATCTTGAGCCGAACAAAATTTCAGTGCCAGCAGTGTGAACAGTGACCACCGAGGCCATGGCGTGCTCCAGTCATGACCCTGCCACTTATCCCCAGGGGCACGCAACTGTGCACGTGGCTCATGCCTGCTGCTGCCCTGCTGCAGCTGCACTAGTCGTGTGGATGCAAAACTGGCTGAGGAATCCCACCTGGGTCTGCCTAGGACCAGAGCACGGCCCCTCCCCCAACCTGGTTTGCACCTCTCTCCCAGCAGTGCTGCTGTGCTGCTTGGAACTAACTGCTCACGATTTTAAAAAATTCCTTTTTCATCTGATTAAGCAAAACTAGAGGTTTTAAGCTCTATCTATGGTACCTTTATTTCACCTCCCCTTGTTCCACTCTGATTTGGGACTGGATTTTAAAAGAGTACCCTGAGTCAAATTCTTTGTGCTTATAAAACTTTAACCAGAATCGAGAAAGAAAAAGTAGATGTAGGAGTCAAGCAAGTGAAAACCACTTCTACATACGTGCACCTCTGTGATTCTTGAGACTCTGTTTGTCCCAATTTTAACGACCCGTAATTCTATCTACCTTGCTCTTTCAGTTGCTCTTCAAGCTCATTTCTCTCTCTGGTCCTAATGAGCCTGTTTTTGGCCCTCACGAGCCTCCATCCCCACACTTTACACCTGATGTGCCTGAATTGTCTTCACACCTGTGCTGAATACTGGCTCTAACCAATCCACTTCCCTCCCCTTACGTGCACACTTTGGAAGCGTTCCTGCTGCCTGCTTATTTCCTACCTGGGACCTGCTCAGGCACCAAAATGTAGGGAGTTGCTGGTCTCTTGGTATATCCCTGGGAGAAATAGTGGCAGGAATGAAGGAAACATAGACAAGAAGCCAAGAGCTGGGTTCAGGTGAAGTCTGATTGCCTGATGCGCAAAAACCCCAAGAACAATAGTTCTTTGCAAAGTTAGTATCAGGAGACACAGAGTTGCCTGGAAACTAATAACCAAAATTGTCCAAGCAGGATGTTTTTCTCAAGACTGAGTTAGCTTGACTACTTTAGGCACTGAGGCCTTGTCCTGCCCTCTCACATACAATCAATTTCCAGCTTCAGCTGCTCCTGATGGGGGCGTATGTTTGTGACCCTTGTCCTGTCCTCTAACCCTGTGCACCTCTTCAGGATTCGTTCTGGTGTCCAAGGCTTCCCTGGACACTGCAGCATCTTCCCTTGGGCCCTGGCTGGAGATGCTGAATGTTGGTGACATCGTGCAGGGGTCCTTTGACGGCATTGCTTGGCCTGCTTCCTCAGTTAAAAGTAAGTTATCTTGAGTAACAGATGCCTCACTTTCGGCTCCCAATTCAACATGGAGAAGTCTGAGAAGTTTCAGGGCCAGGGCTACACCCAGCTTTAATTTCTGCATGTCTGAAATGCTGACAATATCTTGGACCATATGAAGAATTTTGCAACCACTCACTTTGACCTATCAGTCTCTTGGGGTGGATGCCCACAAGTTCTCCTACCTGCACTAATGTGAGCTGAGAATGTTGAATGGGGGGACAAGTCTGTGACCCCTGTCCTGACCTCTGACCTTCTGCACTTCCTCACCAGGGCTCACTCTGGTGTCCAAGGCTGCCCTGGACACTGCAGTATCTTCCCTTGGGCCCTGGCTGGAGAGGCTGAATGTTGGAATCTTGTAGGGGTCCTCTGATGGTACTGCCTGGACTGCTTCCTTAGTTGGAGGCAAGTGGTCCTGAGTAACAGACACCCCATTTTGGGCTCCTAATTAAACATGGAAGAATCTGATAAGAGTGTCAGGACCAGAGCTCCACCCAGCATTCCTTTCTGCTTGCTTGAAATGCAGACCAATATTAGACTATGATTAAGAATTTTGCGTGATTAAAATAGCAAAGTCAGGGCCAGGGAGATAGCTCAGTAGAGTAAGTGCTTCCCTGGCAAGTGCAAGGGCCTGAGTTCAATCCCTGGTTCCGCAAAAAAAA